GGCTGGTGGGCTAACACGGGGCTTGAAGGCAGGCCATTGCAGGAATTCCCTAGCTAAGAAGCCCGCTCGATCTTATGACGAGTTGTTGGAAAGGTGTACCAAGTATATGAATATGGAGGAAACAGAAGCTGATTTTGAGGCCCATGACCGAGTTCGGGGAAAGAAACATGATGACAGACTTCGACCAGAAGATAGAAAGTCAGGAGGGAAGGACTATATGAGTGATGATAGGGGGCGTATGGGTTCAGGTATGAGCACTATGCTCTATTGACATCATAAAGGGGGCAGGTGTTTGAGATGTTGGAGAGGCGTGGAGCAACTATGATGTTTGGCAAACATCAACCCTTACTTAAGAAGTCAGGAAAGGTGCCTGTGGAAGGTGATCCTTATTATAGGTATCATCGTGATTATGGGCACTGGACGAACAACTGCAGGGAGCTTAAGGATGATATTGAGAGACTGATAAGGGCCGGATATTTGAAGGAGTTCATATCGCAAGACATGGAGGAGAAAGATGATGTCGAGGGAGGAGAAAAGAAAATGAGGCAAGAGGAGCAAGGGGAGAGACCTTCAAGAGGGGAGTAATCCATATGATAGCTGGGGGGCCAACAGATGGGGATTCTAATGGGGCTAGGCGAGATAACTTAAGAGCAGATTGGGAGAGTGTAGTGGAGGTCCAGACTGCTCATGCCATGCCAGAGTTGAAGTTCGGTGCAGGAGATTCTCAGGGAATATTGGTTCCCCATATCGATGCTCTGGTAGTTACAGCGGAGATTGCGGGCTATGATGTTGAGAGGATTCTCGTGAATACGGGCAGTACTACTGACATAATGTTCTATGAGTGTTTTCGGCGGACGGATTTAGGTGTGGAGATCACCCCAATCAAGACATCATTGTTTGGCTTCAGTGGGGTAGAGGTAGTGCCACTTGGAGAGGTGCAATTGGCGATGGCGCTGGCAGCTCCTCCTCTCAGGAAGGTGAAGATGGTGCGGTTCGTGGTGGTTAAGGCGGAGTCGGCTTATAATGTTATCTTGGGGCGGTCTAGTCTGAATTTGTTTAAGACGGCAGTATCAACATATTGCATGAAGATGAAATTACCGGTGGGAGAGTTGGTAGGTGAGGTCACGGGGGACCAACAGTTGGCTAGGACCTGTTACCAAATGGTGTTCAAGGTGGGTAATAAGAGAAAAGGTAGAGACGAGAGCACAATTATGGAGGAGGGCTCGATCATGGGCAAAAAGGCCAGAACAGAG